TCCATACCTGGCCCTGATTAGGTAGAGTAAATTTCCTCTGAGAACCTGCCAAGAATTATCTGCCAAGAGGTGTGACCAGCCAGGCCTGCAAAGGGACAAAATTAGGATTGGGGCTCTGGGACCTGAGTTTAGCACACTTTCTCCTTCATCTCCATCATCCAAGTCTACATGCTTCAGGATCTTTCTGGAGCTTGAGTCCAGCAATCGCAGATATTATTCAACAGATGCAGACATAAAGATGTGTATATTCCTTTGACTGACCTCAGGCAATTCACATAACTTTCCTAAGCCTTGGTGTCATCTGCAAATTAGAATTGCTTATTGCTGTGGGTTAAATGTGTCCCCCAAAAGTTCATGTATTGGAAACTTGACCCCCATTGTAACANCTGTGGGTTAAATGTGTCCCCCAAAAGTTCATGTATTGGAAACTTGACCCCCATTGTAACATTGTTAAGAGGGTGAGAAATCAAATTGTGCTATTTGAAAGGTGGGGCCTTTAACAGGTGATTAGATTGTGAGGACTATGACCTTGTGAGTGGATTGATCCATTCATGGAGTAATAGGTGTGATTCTGATGGTTTTATAAGGAGAGTAGGTGAGCAGGTTAGCTCTCTCGCTCATCCTATTCTCACCATGTGACACCCTGGTCCCCACAGAACCCTGTGGAGTGTTCCACCCAGCAGAAGGCTCTCAATAGATATGTTCCCTGTACCTTGGACTTCCCAGCCTCCAAAATTGTAAGAAATAAATTTCGTTTCTTTATAAATTATCCACTTTCAGGTATTCTGTTATAAGCAACAGAAATGGACCAATACACTTAATAATACTCAGAACTGTCATAAGGTTTATATGAGATAATTCATGGAAAGCTTCTGGCCCCATTAAAAGCACTGAAAATGTTAGGCGTTGTCATAAATTTATTCAGTTGTGGAGGTGGATTGACATGGCATATGCATACTCAACAAGCCTTATCTTTTGACCAGCTTCCTGAGGGCATAAGTCTTATTTCTTCAGAACCATCTATGCACTTAGCAGAGTGGAAAAACCAGGTGGAAGCTCAATAAACATTTTATTTGATTAAGGGCTGACCAATTCCTGGGAATGTGACTGTTAGTTTTGAACCAAAGCAAAGCACACAAGAAAATTAAATGAGATTTTAGCTTCCTTAGCAAGTACACTAAAGCAATGAACAATAACAGTCCAGTT